TCCAAAAGAACACAGTGGCCTCCATCATTCTTAAATTGAAGAAGTTTGGAACCCCCAAGACTCTAGACCTAGAGCTGGCCGCCTGGCCAAACTGAGCAATCGGTGCAATGGTCACTTTGACAGAGCTCTAGAGTTCCTCTGTGGAGATGGGAGAACCTTCCAGAAGGACAACCATCTCTGCAGCACTCCACCAATCAGGCCTTTATGGTAGAGTGGCCAGACGGAAGCCACTCCTCAGTAAAAGGCACATGAGTTTGCCAAAAGCAACCTAAAGACTCTCAGACCATGAGAAACAAGATTCTCTGGTCTGATGAAACCAAGATTGAACTCTTTGGCCTGAATGCCAAGCGTCACGTCTGGAGGAAACCTGGCACCATCCCTACGGTGAAGCATGGTGGTGGCAGCATCATGCTGTGGGGATGTTTTTCAGCGGCAGGGACTGGGAGACTGATCAGGATTGAGCCAAAGATGAACAGAGCAAAGTACAGAGAGATTCTTGATGAAAACCTGCTCCAGAGCGCACAGGACCTCAGACTGGGGGCGAAGGTTCAACAGGACAACGACCCTAAGCACACAGCCAAGACAACACAGGAGTGGCTTCGGGACAAGTCTCTGAATGTCCTTGAGTGGCCCAGCCAGAGCCCAGACTTGAACCCGATCAAACATCTATGGAGAGACCTGAAAATAGCTGTGCAGAAACTCCCCAAATACAGGTGTGCCAAGCTTGTAGCGTCATACCCAAGAAGGCTCGATGCTGACAAAGGTGCTTCAACAAAGTACTGAGTAAAGGGTCTAAATACTTATGTAAATGTTATATTTCCATTTTTTATTTTTAATAAATTAGCAAACATTTCTAAACCTTTTTTTGCTTTGTCATTATGGGGTATTGTGTGTAGATTGGTGAGGGGAAAAAAACAATGTAATACATTTTAGAATAAGGCTGTAACATAACAAAATGTGGAAAAAGTAAAGGGGTCTAAATACTTTCCGAATGCACTGTATGTGGATAACTTTTATAAGGCGCTGTGTATCGATGTGTGCCCGATGCCACCTCATCGCTGATTCTCCGCTGGTCGTGCAATATAAATTGCGCATATAGGCTATTTAATGATCCATTGCCTATAGGCTATGAAGTGCATGCTCGGAAAAGCAAAGAGCAAAGTTATATTTGTAAGATAGCTGCTGGGATGGTAAAACTAGGCTGCATTACACACTGCAATGGATATTCTAACCCTGAGCCCCAGCCTGCTCTGCTCTTGCAGATCAAAAAAGTTTTTGTCTGCTGCCTAACCAATGGCTGTGCTGTGTAGGCCTACGGTGGCAGTTCAGAAGGAGAGTCAAAGGTTTCTTCCGAATATACTTTTTGATTAGGCCTAATGCACTATCTTGCACATGGACTAGCTTATAGCCTATGTTCTGTTCAGTTTGAGAAGGAGAGCGTGAAGATGTGAAGGAGGACCGGAGGTCAACTTTAATCGCTTGCTACTACTACAATTTATCTTATTGAAAGCAATATGTCTTTTGCCCATGGTGTATTTATCAGAGTAACTTACATTGTGGTGTTGAAACTTGAAGCAGCAGCTACTGCACAATCAATCGGAAAGCTCATTGTACTGAAAGTAGACAAATTGGAGTAGGCATAATTAATTTCAACCGTCTTCATTTTAATTAGACTTTACTATCAACAAGAGGGCTTTGTGTTGGAGCCTATTTCTTCCTATTTAAGAAATAAGAGGTAGGCCTACCTGTTTGATACGAAATTAGGCTATGTCCATAGATTTGTCGGTCAATTCCTCCACCCACCATGCACTCGTTAAATAGCCTAACTCTGTGTCAGTGAAGGGCTGTTAAATTAAAACCAAGACTCAAATTGAGGGTGTATGAGAGGGTACGCCATAAGCCTACCTTTTATTAGAAAATTTCTAAAAGCACAGGCCTACCCCTTGTTAGCTTAAGATTTTGAAGAAAATCAAATTGATCCGACTATATAAAGTAATCTAAAACAGCGCTTTGGTCCACGGTCCTTTATGCTAGAAACAAGCAGTAAAATACCCAGGAAAGAGGTGACTCCAATGCATATGGGGATATTATTGTTTAGTTTCTTTGACATTCAGAGCTTGACTTAGCTTGGGAAGTAATCTAAATCTGTCACTATCAATTGACTTTCTGTACAGTAGAAGATGTTTAAACCCAGACAGCTTTTAGGAAAATACTTGTAACCTTCTCTCGTTAGGTTAAGCCACGGAAGAAGAGTAGCCAGCAGTTAAAGCTTACATTTTTCTGTGTCGGTAGGCTTCTCTGTCTGGGGTGGAAAGGTAGGCCTAACTTTTGAAAGAACCACGCTCAGGTTGAATCTGTCACTGTTTTCATTTCAGAGGTCGATTTTCTATAAATAATGTTCACTGCCTAATGGGTAGGGCTGTTACGGTGAGTCATGACCGCAGTCAAATTCCACGTGACTGTTGAGCGGAATAGGATCACCTGTTGCGCAGCGTGAGCTAGCTCCTCATAGCTGGTTGATGCATGCAATTAAATAAGCGTTCCTATAAGCCCATGTTGCGCTACATTTCTATAGGCTATGCTATGCAACTGCCTGAGAAAACAGCGTTTTGATGGCCTCTATTAAAAATAGGAGGATCCCATAAACTTTCTATAGGCTAGGCCTACTATAGACTATTTATTTCTCAACTTTCCTAATATTAAGCACATTGCTTCCCTTTACAATAGAAGTAGCCTACCTGGCAGGCATGAAAATGAACTACGGGAGTAGCCTACCTGGCTGGCATGAAAATGAACCGCGGGAAAAACAACCTCAATTTTTCAAATCAAATCACATGCGTCAAATACAACAGGTGTAGACCTTACCGTGAAATGCTTACTTACAAGCCCTTAACCAACAATGCAGTTCAAGAAATAGATTTGCTAAATAAACTAAAGTAAAAAATTAAATAATAAGTAACACAATAAAATAACAATAACGAGGCTATATACAGGGGGTACCGGTACCGAGTCAATGTGCGGGGGTACAGGGTAGACGAGGTCATTTGTACAAGTAGGTGGGGGTAAAGTGGCTATGCATAGATAATAAACAGCGAGTAGCAGCTGTGTAAAAACAAAGGAGGGGGGGTCAATGTAAATAGTCCGGGCGGCCATTTGATTAATTGTTCAGCACTCTTATGGCTTGGGGGTAGAAGCTGTTAAAGAGCCTTTTGGACCTAGACTTGGCGCTTCGGTACCGCTTGCCATGCGGTAGCAGAGAGAACAGACTATGACTTGGGTGACAGGAGTCTTTGACAATTCTTTGGGCCTTCCTCTGACACCGCCTAGTATATAGGTCCTGGATGGTAGGAATCTTGGCCCCAGTGATGTATTGGGCCATACGCACTACCCTCTGTAGGGCTTTACGGTCGGATGCCGAGCAGTTGCCATACCAGGCGGTGATGCAACCGGTCAGGATGCTTTCGATGGTGCAGCTGTATAACTTTTTGAGGATCTGCGGACCCATGACAAATCTTTTCAGTCTCCTGAGGAGGAAAAGGTGTTGTCGTGCCCTCTTCACGACTGTCTTGGTGTGTTTGGACCATGATAGTTTGTTGGTGATGTGGACACCAAGGAACTTGAAACTCTTGACCTGCTTCACTACAGCCCCGTCGATGTTAATGGGTGCCTGTTCGGCCCTCCTTTTCCTGTAGTCCACGATAATCTCCATTTGTCTTGCTCACATTGAGGGAGAGGTTGTTGTCCTGGCACCACACTGCCAGGTCTCTGACCTCCTCCCTATAGGCTGTCTCATTGTTGTCGGTGATCAGGCCTACCACTGTTGTGTCGTCAGCAAACTTAATGATGGTGTTGGAGTCGTGCTTGGCCACGCAGTAGTGGATGAACAGGGAGTACAGGAGGGGACTAAGCACGCACCCGTGAGGGGCCCCCGTGTTGAGGATCAGCGTGGCAGACACATTTGTTCTTAACTGACTTGACTAGTTAAATAAAGGTTAAATAAAAAATTAAACAATATTTGAAATAAAAACATATAGCTTAAGGTTTGTATCACAACTACAGTTGCATAAATAACTCTAAATTAAGCATATAAGAGGACTTGTTTCAAATAATCACTTTGTTAACGGCTCAACACAGAATAGTCACGTGCACACTCTCTCGGAAATCGTTTGGGAAAAATATCAGTTATTTTTTATTGAGCTATGTTCAATTGTATTCTTGTTACTATAAAATAATGCCATGGGAATTATATGCAAATCTTGTCTGCTAAATGAACTAGTGTAGCCCACTGCCATATTGCATAGCCAGAACAGGGCCTAACATAGGGAAGACTCAGAATTCCAAAATTCTGCATCAGTGGCTTGTAGGCTATGCACTAGCCCTGATTAATTAATGTTAATTAACGGTCAATTACCGTGAGACCAGCAGTTATTTGCATGACAGTTACCAGCTGACAAAAAGAGGCTGAAGCAAAAGAATAGACATTCTTATGAGACCTCCTTCTAAGATAAAGCAGTAGCCCCTGGTTTGTGATCTAGCCACTGTGCTGTCGGCCGTGTCTACTGTCTTCACTTATTTATACTGCAGTCTTACTTCAATAAGAGGAGCTTGCTCTTGTTACTCAGGGTCTCTCTGCACAGAAACACGCACGCACGCAGCACGCACGCACGCATGCACATACACACGCACACTAGTGATGGGTCATGCGCACAAGCATCGGCTCTGAGAGCCGGCTCTTTGTAGTGAATCAGAAGAGCCGGCTCGCATCGAGTGAGAGCCGGCTCCCAGTTTTTTGCCCATTCGCTGCTTAGGTTTCACTTTCACAGAGGTCTGTTATGATTGGCCAGCATGGCGACCAGCATGCGGCATTCACGTGAGAATTAAGGATGTGTAAACAGAGAGGGGGCGGGGCAGACACACCACTTGACTCCACTGCAAGTGAAGAGAGAGACAGAGCGGACTGAGGAGCGTGTGTGCGTCTTGCATTGTCGTGTCGTTTAACTATGAGTGACACTAGAAAGCGAAGCAGCATCTGGCTGCAGTTTAAAGATATTGGGAACAAGAAAGCAGAGTGCCTTCACTGCAAAACGAAGGTCACTATAAGAGCAGGTTCCACCACAAACCTGCATAGACATACAAGAACTGTCCATCCTACAGTGCAGTTAGAGGAGAGAGGGCAAGCCAGCTCACCATCTACTGATCCTGGTGTGTCTCATACCAGAACAACAGCTGCTGTAACGTCTACTGCCATCCCCATGCGTGCAAGTATAACCTCTCCTACTGCAACTCAAAGCAAAATAAGTCAGTTTTTACCTAAACTGATGACCCCAGCCAAACAGCACAGTATTGATGATGAGTTGGCTAAAATGGTAGCTTCTGATTTTCAACCCTTTTCCATTGTGGAGGACAAAGGAATGAAAAACTTTGTCAAAGCCCTAAATCCCACATACACTCTACCCAGTAGAAAAACACTTTCCCAAACAATGATCCCAAAACTATATGACACAGAACGTGCATTATGGCAAGAAAGGGTGACAAAAGCTCCATCAGTTTGCCTGACAACTGACTGCTGGACCTCCAGAACAACCTGCTCTTTCATGTCTGTCACTTGCCACTTTATTGAAGATTACAAGATGACATCTTGCCTTCTGGACTGCTTCGAGTTCACCGACAGACACACTGCAGAAAACTTGGCAGTGGAGCTACTAAGAGTGGCAAAAGAGTGGCAAGTAGAGGACAAAGTGGTGTGCTGTGTGAGTGATAATGCTGCAAACATCACCAAAGCCATAAAAGTTTTGAAGTGGACCCATCACCCATGTCTGGCGCATACACTAAACCTGGTGGTTAGAGATGCTCTGAAGGTGATCAAAACAACCGTGGATAAGGTGAAGGCTGTTGTGGAGTTTTTCCACAAAAGCACAGTAGCAGCACAGAAGCTAAAGTCCACACAGCGCCAAATGGGGATTCCTGAACTGAGGCCCAAACAAGAGTGTGCCACCAGGTGGAACTCAACATTTGATATGTTGAAACGAATGCTTGAAATAAAAGATGCCATCATCTCCACCCTGGCCCTCATCAACGCATCTATTGAGCCATTAAGCCAAGAGGAATGGGAGCTGGTGAAAGAGGTCTGCGCCGTCCTGCAACCATTCCAGGAGGTGACTGTGGAGATAAGTGCAGACAGGTACCTAGAACCATTGAAGCATTGTTTTCTCTACTACTATTCAGTCACTATTATACATTGCAAACACAACACATACAGTATAATGCATCACGTATAATATGCCACATACTTTTAAAAAACTAAATTCTAAAAGTTGCTGTTTTCTCTCCTTCAGCTATGTCACAGCCTCGAAAATGCTCCTGCTTTGCAAAGGTCTGCAGCTGGTGACAGCCGAGAACCAATGGACAGTAACTGTGCAGAAAGTGAAGGAATTAGTTGCAGCTCTTTGTTCAGCCATGGACCGCAAATTTCTGCGGATGGAGTACAACACTGTCCTTTCAGAAACTACCTTATTGGATCCAAGGTTTAAAAAACTTGCCTTCAGTGATCGTAGAGCTGTTGATGAAGCTCTTCAGAGGATTAGTGCAGCAGCAGCAGCAAAATGCACCCCCAGCAGCCAGCCAGCTCCACCATTACAGGGCCAAGTGGAGGAGGAGCAGCAAACCTCTGCTGTTTGGAGGCTTTTTGATGACAGAGCTACAGGAGATGCTTCAAGGAGAAATCCGACAGCTGATGCTATAATGGAGGTGAGGCGCTACCTTGAGGAGCCCCTCATCCAGAGAGCAGAAGACCCACTGAGCTGGTGGCAGGCCAAGGCCTCAGTCTTTCCACTCCTGGTGAAGGTGATGGAGGGGAGACTATGTATTGTTGCCACATCAGTTCCTTCTGAGAGAATCTTCTCCAAAACAGGGCAGATACTCACGGAGAGGCGAAATCGTATCAGGCCTATCAGCCCATCCAAGCTGAGGCATCTGATCTTCCTGAATGCCAACCTGCCCTGAGGACTAATGCTGTTTGCTGGAGTTTGGTTCTGGTTTTGATTCTGTTCTGTGGATTTGTTTGAAGTTTATTGTTAATTTGTGCAATAAAAAAGTTTAATTGAAATAAACAAATGTAAGAGTGGTTTTGTCACAGAATAAATGCACAGAATTAGGCATTATAAGGTCTCTCATAAAAACACTGAAAGCAAAAGGGTTTTCAACACATAAACCATGATTTTTTTTCAAAGTTAAGGTAAAATATAGGCTACAAAAGATCCTAAATAAAGAGCCGTTCGGGAGTCGAAAGAGCCGGCTCTTCTTTGGGAGCCGAGTCAAAAGAGCCGGCTCTCAGAAAAGAGCCGAACTTCCCATCATTAACGCACACACACAGCTCTTTGACAATCTGCCCACATACAGTGCATTCGGAAAGTATTCAGACCCTTTGACTTTTTCCACTTTGTTATATTCCAGCCTTATTCTAAAATTGATTAAATTGTTCCCCCCCCCCCCCCCCCCTCATCAATCTACACAAATTGCCCCTTAATGACAAAGCAAAAACAGGTTTTTAGAAGTTTTTACAAATGTAAAATAAAAAACGGAAATATCACATTTACATAAGTATTCAGACCCTTTACTCAGTACTTTGTTGAAGCACCTTTGGCAGAGATTACAGCATTGAGTCTTCTTGGGTATGACGCTACAAGCTTGGCACCCCTGTATTTGGGGAGTTTCTCCCATTCTTCTCTGCAGATCCTCTCAAGCTCTGTCAGGTTGGATGGGGAGCGTCGCTGCACAGCTATTTTCAGGTCTTTTGGGAGATGTTCGATCGGGTTCAAGTCCGGGCTCTGACTGGGCCACTCAAGGACATTCAGAGACTTGTCCCGAAGCCACTCCTGAGTTGTCTTGGCTGTGTGCTTAGGGTCGTTGTCCTGTTGGAAGGTGAACCTTCGCCCCAGCCTGAGGTCCTGAGCACTCTTTAGCAGGTTTTCATCAAGGATCTCTCTGTACTTTGCTCTGTTCATCTTTCCCTCGATCCTAACTAGTCTCCCAGTCCCTGCTCCAATCAAGTTGTAGAAACATCTCAAGGATGATCAATGGAAACAGGATGCACCTGAGCTCAATTTCAAGTCTCATAGCAAAGGGTCTGAATACTTACACTACCGGTCAAACGTTTTAGAACACCTACTCATTCAAGGGTTTTTCTTAATTTTTACTATTTTCTACATTGTAGAATAATAGTGAAGACATCAAAACTATGAAATAACATATATGGAATCAAGTAGTAACCAAAAAAGTGTTAAACAAATCAAAATATATTTTATATTTGAGATTCTTCAAATAGCCACCCTTTGCCTTGATAGAGCTTTGCACACTCTTGGCATTCTCTCAACCAGCTTCACCTGGAATGATTTTCCAACAGTCTTGAAAGAGTTCCCACATATGCTGAGCACTTTTTGGCTGCTTTTCCTTCACACTGCGGTCCGAATCATCCCAAACCATCTCAATTTGGTTGAGGTCAGGGGATTGTGGAGGCCAGGTCATCTGATGCAGCACTCCATCACTCTCCTTCTTGGTAAAATAGCCCTTACACAGCCTGGAGGTGTGTTGGGTCATTGTCCTGTTCAAAAACAAATGATAGTCCCAATAAGCCCAAACCAGATGGGATGGCGTATAGCTGCAGAATGCTGTGGTAGCCATGCTGGTTAAGTGTGCCTTGAATTCTAAATAAATCACAGACAGTGTCACCAGCAAAGCACCCCCACACCTTAACACCTCCTCCTCCATGCTTTACAGTGGGAAATACACATGCGGAGATCATCCGTTCACCCTATTGGAACCAAAAATCTCAAATTTGGACTCCAGACCAAAGGACAGATTTCCACCGGTCTAATGTCCATCGCTCGTGTTTCTTGGCCCAAGCAAGACTCTTCTTCTTATTGGTGTCCTTTAGTAGTGGGTTCTTTGCAGCAATTCGACCATGAAGGCCTGATTAACACAGTCTCCCCTGAACAGTTGATGTTGAGATGTGTCTGTTACTTGAACTCTGTGAAACATTTATTTGGGCTGCAATTTCTGAGGCTGGTAACTCTAATGAACTTATCCTCTGCAGCTGAGGTAACTCTGGGTCTTCCATTCCTGTGGCGGTCCTCATGAGAGCCAGTTTCATCATAGCGCTTGATGGTTTTTGCGACTGCACATGAAGAAACTTTCAAAGTTCTTGAAATGTTCCGTAATGACTGACCTTCATGTCTTAAAGTAATGATGGACTGTTGTTTCTCTTTGCTTATTTGAGCTGTTCTTGCCATAATACGGACTTGGTCTTTTACCAAATAGCGCTATTTTCTGTATACCCCCCTACCTTGTCACAACACAACTGATTGGCTCAAACGCATTAAGAAGGAAAGAAATTCCACAAATTAACTTTTAAGAAGTTACACTTTTTAATTGAAATGCATTCCAGGTGACTACCTCATGAAGCTGGTTGAGAGAATGCCAAGAGTGTGCAAAGCAGTCATCAAGGCAAAGGGTGTCTATTTGAAGAACCTCAAATATAAAATACACTTTGATTTGTTTAACACTTTTTTGGTTACTACATGATTCCATATGTGTTATTTCATAGTTTTGATGTCTTCACTATTATTCTACAATGTACAAAATAGTAAAAATAAAGAAAAACCCTTGAATGAGTAGGTGTTCTAAAACTTTTGACGGGTAGTGTATGTAAATGTTATTTTTCCGTTTTTAATTTGTAATAAATTTGCGAAAAATTCTAAAAATCTGTTTTTGCTTTTTCATTATGGGGTATTGTGTGTAGATTGATGATGGGGGGAAAAACAATTTAATCTATTGTAGAATAAGGCTGTAACATAACAAAATTAGGAAAAACTCAAGGGGTCTGAATACTTTCCGAATGCGCTGTGCGGTACTGTACTCACATTCACATACTGTATGCGCACAGACACAGACAGTTATAATACAGTGCCTTGCGAAAGTATTTACCCCCCTTGGCATTTTTCCAATTTTGTTGCCTTACAACCTGGAATTAAAATAGATTTTTGGGGGGTTTGTATCATTTGATTTACACAACTTGCCTACCACTTTGAGGATGCAAAATATTTTATATTGTGAAACAAACAAGATATAAGACAAAAAAACTGAAAACTTGAGCGTGCATACTTTTTTCTGGCCACTCTTCCGTAAAGCCCAGCTCTGTGGAGTGTACAGTTTAAAGTGGTCCTATGGACAGATACTCCAATCTCCGCTGGGGAGCTTTGCAGCTCCTTCAGGGTTATCTTTGGTCTCTTTGTTGTCTCTCTGATTAATGCCCTCCTTACCTGGTCCATGAGTTTTGGTGGGCGGCCCTCTCTTGGCAGGTTTGTTGTGGTGCCATATTCTTTCCATTTTTGAATAATGGATTTAATGGTGCTCCGTGGGATGTTCAAAGTTTCGGATATTTTTTTATAACCCAACCCTGATCTGTACTTCTACACAACTTTGTCCCTGACCTGTTTGGAGAGCTCCTTGGTCTTCATGGTGCTGCTTGCTTGGTGGTGCCCCTTGCTTAGTGGTGTTGCAGACTCTGGGGCCTTTCAGAACAGGTGTATATATACTGAGATCATGTGACAGATCATGTGACACTTAGATTGCACACAGGTGGACTTTATTTAACTAATTATGTGACTTCTGAAGGTAATTCACAGGTTGTAATGCAACAAAATAGTAAAAATGCCAAGGGGGATGAATACTTTTGCAAGGCACTGTAGCAGACAAAACATAATTTTACTCCAAATTATGGTAATAGGTTTAATCCAGATCAATTTCCTTGTTAGGGCTGCAGAACATCTGAAGACAAATGACAGAGAGAGAGAAAGATGGACAGAATCATACAGTAAATCTACATTGGCAATCACAAAATCAATAACACAAAACATTTTTTTTCTCTTACACTACATAAGCTTCTATTTCACTTGGTAATGACTTTGTGGGAGTCTTGGCTGTGACAATCAGACTTGACTGTTTTTAGAGGTGTTTTGTAATTTCCTCTTGTGTGAAGTGAACAAAGAAATTAGGCTGATTTTACCCAACGGTATAAACACTCATCTCTGCACCCAGAACTGAATCAACTAAGGCTGTCACAAGAGACTATATAAACACTAAGGCAGCTATAGATAAGCAGTGAAGGCATGATAGGACAGGGGGCGTCTGAGCAGAACAGTGCCTGCAGTCAAATGACCTAGTGGCCTCATGGGTGTAATGTTATTTTAAAAAAAAGACATTTAACATTTTAATAATTTAGGAATGGAGCTCTTATCCTGAGTGACATACAATTAGGCATTACAATCTCAGTGGATAATGCTATTTATTCCACTCACTCGCTATACTATAGATTCTATAGCCATGTGGATGAAGGATTGAATTCATAATCTCTCCCTTGCTTAAAGGTTTAAAGGTTTAAAAAATACATTGAACATGATCAGAATTGTCTTCACCGTCTCTTAACCTCCGATGTTAAAAAACTGGTTTTCCTGAACTGCAGCTCATCTTGAATTATTCAACGTGACAGCAATCCATGCTTTGGTTTAGTTTCCCTGGCACTGTTTCCACATGCGAACATTTTAGCATTTGTGGCACAAATCTCATTTAAGTCATGGGAGTGATATTAGCATTTTTCACGCATCATGTTCAAATCATTTATAAGTGATTTTGATGAGCTTCACAATCAATTTGAAATACTTTTCGATGATTTGGACATGATACACGAAACATGCTAATATCGGTCCCATGACTTGAATGGGATTTGTGCCACAAATGCTAAAACGTTAGCATGTGGATACAGTGCCAGGGAAACTAAACCAAAGCATGAATTGCTGTCATACCTTGTCCATATACTGCTTTGAAGGTAAGGAAACCAATGTGTCATTTTGTAATTTGGGTGAACTATCCCTTTAACATATAATTAATTTTTTGAACCAAAGCTTTGCAAATGAGTAGACAAATTTCACACTAGTAATTGCGGTGCCATTGAGTGATTACTCCACTGCTATTCTGTTAGAAGCATCTCTGAGAATGTTGCTAACCCTTTCTGACTGTAGCCAAGTAAGCTGTCATACGTGTCAGGCAATAGTCTCCAGTTGCAGCTGTTGGTTGTACACTTTGTTACTCACATTGGCACTTTTTATTCAATTCCGTCACTACTTGTCACATTCTGACTTTGGAATTTTTCAATACTGATCTTGATTATGTGTTTTCCAGTCAGAGGCACGTTGGCAGTAGTCGCATTGAATTGACTGCTGCTGTTGAAATGAGACATCATTGACATTTGTTACAGAACAAGGCAGTGAGATAAGGTTAGAGGGAGTGCATTAGCTCTGAGAAATCAAGCATCATGCAGATGAGTGGGAGGGCATC